TTACGCGTGTAAAAGCGCGTTGTACTTTTGAACCAGCGCGAGACGATAGAGTCGTCGCCTATCTCTGACCTTCGTTGCCTGGTGACGAGCTTGTTGTCTGGCGTTGACTCATGTCATTGGCTACAGGAGGTACTTTATTCTAAATATGATTTTCTTCGATCTCGTGCTATTTTTTCCTATCAATAGGGGTCTTATCTCCATGTTTTCAAAGCACCCACGTCTACAATTTCTGTCTCTCTCTCTTTTCTTTTTCTAAACCTCCCCTTTCTCAAAATTCCTCACTCATTAGTCCTAGACACACCTAGCCAAGTACAAAGTTGCCTTCGCCCTAGACGTGAAAGGTTTGATATTTGTGAGGGTTTGGTCCCAAATCCCTATTTCAAATATTTAATTTAATTGTTTGTTTTATTATTGTTCCTTGAAGTTGCTAACGTGTGCATTTTTTTGTTAGAAAGTGGTAGGAGGCATCGAAGTAAGTACTTTAATTGTTTTATTGATCTTTTGATATAGAAATCATGCTTAGATTATTTTGTTGATTCTTATATAGTATCATGTTATGATGTTTTATTACTTCCTAGTAACATGTTTAGGGTTAACTAATATGTATGATATTATAATGATGCTTTCAATTCCTTTTCTAATATCATGTTAGTATCATGTTAGGATTAAAGCTTTGATCTTTTATGTTTAGTGACATGCTTGGGTTTGTTATTAATCTTGTTATTATCATGCCTAGGATCTTGCTAATATTATTATGCTTTAACATGAATATTATTATTATGATTGTTATTTTAATCTTGATTATTATGATTGTTATTATTATGTTGCTTGATGATATATTATTATTGTTATTTCTGGATCACGCCTTTTATGCATGTTTAAAGGGAATTTCTACATGTAATCACGCTTAATAAGATAATTAATAATCTTGTTTAAGGTTAATACACTAGTAGAATAAAGCTAAAAGACCCCGGTTCAAACCCGACTTAAGGCACCGGTTTGAACCGGTCACAATGTGGGGGTTGCCAAAAACTCCCCACTTTGCCACCGGTTCAAAAGCGGTGGTATAAACCAGTTTTGGCACCGATAAACCGGTGCCTTTATTTATTTTGGCCACCGGTTAACCGGTGCCAAAAACAAACCCCGCGCAATTTTTTTTTGTGGCAGCAACTTCTAACCGGTGCCATTTCAGTGTAATTTTTTTCCCCTTTTTTTATGCAATAATATTAAAAAAACACCCTCAAATTCTAGCAGTAATAACCTGTAATTCCAACAATAATATTAATAAAAATAGGTAACAATATTATTATTAAAATTACCAATAATAATAAAAATAGTACTAAACATTATAATAAGATACAAATTATATTAAATATAATAATTCATATATAGATATAAATATTCCCAAATTCAATAAAATAATAAAAAAAAGTGTTATATACATATATACAAAGGATAGTTAGTAATTAATGAATTATAATATAGTTAATAAGTTAACATAAATTTACAATAAAAATGACATTTACATGTTAAAGGTGATAAAAGACGCCAACATGTCATAAACTTCATTAAGTTCCTTGATTGTCAACGGACCATCCTTTTGAACCTCGCAAAATTTGAAATACAAAAAAAATTATATTCGATTTAATTAAATAGGCTAAACAATATGTACAAATATGGCCTATTTGACTTCTACTTTGCCCATTTTCTACATTTCTTATCAAATGAACTCTTTCTTTGTTATAACATGTCAATGTTTGGTAATATTAGGTGTCTAAGGCTTATAATCACATCAACAAAGCATTTTACTAAGTTTTAAGACGTATTTTACTCAAAATGGCCCAAATATGGCCTATATGACTTCTATTTAGCCCATTTCCTAAATTTCTTATCAAATGAACTATTTTTTTTTCTTATAACATGCCAATGTTACCTATTTTTATGTGTCTAAGGCTTAAAATTGAATCAATAGAGCATTTTATTATGGTTTAAGATGCTTTTTACTCAAAATGGCCCAAATATGACCCATATGAATTTACTTTGCCCATTTCCTACATTTCTTATAAATAAACTTTTTTTTCTCATAACATGTGAATATTATCTAGTTTTAGGTTTATAAGGAAAGAAATCATATTAAAAGAGCATATTAACAAAAAATGGCCCAAATATGGCCTATATGACTTCTACTTTGCCCATTTTCTACAATTCTTTTCAAATGAACTATTTTTTTTGTTATAACATGTCAATGTAAGGTAATATGAGGTGTCTAAAGCTTGAAATCACATCAATAGAGCATTTTACTAAGTTTTAAGACGCATTTTACTAAAAATGCCCAAATATGGCCTATTTGACTTCTATTTAGCCCATTTCCTACATTTTTTATAAAATGAACTCTTTCTTTCTCATAACATGTTAATGTTACCTAGTTTTATGTATCTAAGGTTTAAAATTGAATCAATAGAGCATTTTATTAAGGTTTAAGACGCTTTTTACTCAAAATGGCCCAAATATGGCCTATATGACTTTACTTTGCCCATTTTCTACATTTCTTATCAAATGAACTTTTTTTTCTCATAACATGTCAATATTATCTAGTTTTAGTTGTATAAGGAAAGAAATATTATATGACTACTATTTATCCCATTTCTTACATTTCTTATCAAATAAACTATTTTTTTCTCATAACATGTCAATGTTACCTAATTTTATGTGTCTAAGGCTTAAAGTTAAATTAATAGAACATTTTACTAAGGTTTAAGACGTTTTTTTACTCAAAATGGATCAAATATGACCTATATGACTTTACTTTGCCCATTCCTAAATTTCTTATCAAATGAACTTTTATTTTCTCATAACATGTCAATATTATCTAGGATTAGGCGTATAAGGAAAAAAAGCACATCAAAAGAGCATATTAACAAAATAATGGCCCAAATATGGCCTATATGACTTCTACTTTGCCCATTTTTTACCTTACTTATCAAATTGTTATTTAGATGAAATACTACAAGAGGGGGGGTGAATTGTAGTATGGAGATTGCTAGTCACTTTTTGCGGAATTAAAAGAAACTTAACGCAATAGAGAAATAGTACAAGAGAGATTTTACGAGGAAAACTTCCTAGGCCAAATAGGAAGTGAAAAACCTCGACCTAAAGGGATTTTGACTCAAAACATTCCACTAAATAGGCCAACGACTCTGTTACAACCTATGAGGAACTTGAGCCTCTACCGAGTTCCTCAACGAACTCATATCCCCAACAACTATTCCCTCTAATAGTTGCAGCTCGAAATCTTCCCTCAAAGACCTCTTTTCTCACTCAAGACTTCACTCAAAAACTTACTCTTTCTCTTTCTCTCAAGCTTCACTCAAAGCCTTCTCTACATACAAAGAACTCACTCAAGTTCTCACCCCAATACAAGAGTTCACTCAAACCCTTATTAATTCCCCATTACAAGAGTTCACTCAACAACTCTCAAATACATATAAAAGATATAATGTATAAAACTAATATGTTGGACAATTTGAGATATGTAAGGAACTTGGAACCTAGAGGAACTGGCTCACCAACGTGGAGAGAAAATATATTTCTTTTCTACTGCTCCACCACTTGGGACAAACTCCATTATGGAATGACTCACTTAAGCCAGACAGTTTGGAATGAATGAAAACATTTCTTTTTATAGTGCTTTAAAGACAAACCCATTCATCCCATGATCTTCAATCATAACAGTAGCGCTTCCTAAATTCTAGGCATTATCTCCATTAACTCCATGAACATAAGAAGTAATGGAAGACATGGATTGGAGTAAAAAAACATTTTCTCCATGATCTCCTTATTTTTCTCCTGTAAAATGTTGTTTCAAATTGAACGTGAAAAGCAATTTTTATTTTTCCAAAAACTTAATAAATAAAAATAGAAGTTACAAGAAAATAAAATACTAACCAAATCAGATTTTTATCAATTAAAAACTAATTCGGAATTTATTCATTAAGAATAAATATTTTATAAAAATATTTTACCCAAAATAACTATCCTATTTAATATGAAATATTAAGCCAATTAGAGATTAGATAGGAAACAACCTAAAACATATCCCTAAAATATAGGAGAAAATAAAGAGAATAAAATATCATTTTGACTAAAAAGAAAATCAGATTTTATTTTTAAAAACTTATCGTTTATAAAATAAAATCTATTTAAAATAAATTATACCAAGTCAAAACTAATTACCTAGAAAGTAGGCAAAGATACTGCAATGACTACTAACATGGAAAACTGACTTCTAGTGCTATGTAAACGTGTGTTTCTCTTATACACGAATTTTAGACTCACCCGTAAGGAACTGGCTGGTCAGCAACACCCAGTTCCTTCTAGAATATCAGTTCCTTTGAGACTGAAGTTCCAATTTAGTTCCATAGGCATGTTCCAAACAATTTCTCGTGTCCAACATACTTACATGATTCCTAGAAAAATATACTCCTATTTTTCTGTCTTGAAGCTTCTACTCCAAAGCTTATGTTCCTTCAAAGGAACTTCTCTTATCTTGTTCTCACATACGAATTGCTGCTTATTCCCTGCAAAGAACTACTTCTTAGGAACTGCATACAAAGTCTAACAATACGTTTGTACGTTTAGACTTCTTCTCTTTGTGTTCCCCCTTGGAAACTCTTCTTCTCTTTGTGTTCCCCCTGAGGAACTTAAGCACAATCCATACATTGTATGTTGGAACCATCTTCAATAATGATCTAACCTGTACTCAATCATCTTCTTGCTTCATGACTTGTTCATGCACATCTCAATACACATGTTAGTTAGATAATCACCATTTGTTCACAATCATCAAAACCTTACAACACAAATGAACTATTTCTTCGTTATAACATGTCAATGTTGGCTAATATTAGGTGTCTAAGGCTTGAAATCACATCAATAGAGCATTTTATTAAGTTTTAAGACGCATTTTACTCAAAATGGCCTAAATATGGCCAATATGACTTCTATTTAGCCCATATCCTACAATTCTTATCAATGACACCAGTCTCAAAGAAACAGAAGATAGCAGCATAGATATCAGTTTTGATCGTAGGCCAAGCCTTTTTGAAGAAAACAACATTGAAACCATCAATCCCAGGCGCCTTATCATCTCCAATCTGAGTTAGAGCATTATCAATCTCAGAAGTAGTAACCACAGCAGTCAAAATATCAATGGAGCTAGAGCTGAGTTGAGAACCTCTCCTAATAGTGGCCAAGTCAACAGCAGGGAGAGAACTAGCACTAGAACCAAGGAGCCCTTTATTAAACCCCACAATCTCATTTTCAATAAGCACATGATCTTTCAAAAGGACATCATCTTCAGTGAAGAAAGAATCAATTCTATTTCTACCTTGCTTGTGCTTCATAACAGAAAAGAAGTAGTGAGAACTGCAGTCCGCCAGCTTAATCCAATCAACCCTAGATTTCTGCTTATAAATGGACTCCTGGATATACATCCAATGCTTCACCATATTTACAGCTTCAGCCTCTTTAACATGAAGGTCAGAATTAGAATAATCCACAGCAAGCTGGTCTTGAATGGCTTTCAAAGAGGCAAGAGCCACATCAACTTTCTCGTCAACATTAGCAAAATACTTAGTGTTCAGATCTTTCAGGTTCTTTTTGTCAGATTTCAAATTCTGCTAAATAGTAACCATAGCAGAAGAATTTGTAACACTATGCCAGCTGTTTTCCACAATAAAAAAAAGTCAACATGATCAACTAGGCAATTAAGAAACCTAAAAGGTCTCCCCTTAGCAGCAACAAATCTACACACTTCAACTAAAAGAGGGTTGTGATTAGAGAGGAGAGGGGGAAGATAGATAGATTCAACATGAGAATTCAACCAAGCTTGATTCACAAGCCCCCTGTCAATCCTTGTAGCAATTCTAGTATCACCATGACCCTTATTAGACCAAGAGTAAAAAGAACCTTTACTTATGAGCTCACAAAGATCAAGATTGTCAACAAAACTTCTAAAATGGTTAACCTCATAATTAGTGACAACATTACCATTAATTCTATCATAAGAATTGGGAACAGAATTAAAGTCACCAATAACAAGCCAAGGCCCAGAAACAACTCCAAGACTAGAAATACCATCCCAAAGAGGTAACCTGTCATGAATAGAATGCAAGCCACACACAAAGGTACAGAAAATCAGATGCTGAAGATCCTTGGAGCTAATTTGGACATGAATGAACTGCTCATGAGAGGAGAGGACTAAAAGATTAACCTTGTCATGTAACCAGCCACCCACAGTCTACCCCTATGTGAAGATGAGTAGTTACAAAACCAAGACCAAGCAGACCCAAATTTCTTCTGAAGCTTAACACTCTTATCACGACCGTTAGGTTTCTTAAAACTTCTCGTCGGACCTCTACCCTTTCTCTGAGCCGGTGCCTTTACCCCCTCTCCACCACCATTGTTGTTTTGATCCTGTCCTTGGCCATGAGTTTCAGGAGTCGGGTTCTCACCAACAATCTCACATGCTGTATTTTCAATAGGCGCCGCACGTTTAGCTAAAATTTTAAATTCTTCAAGCCTACGCTCAAACTCATCTTAAGCCTGATCCTCTGGCTCACCCAAGTCAACCTCCTTATTCACATCATAAGGTTCATCCTCACCCTCATACTCGTCATCATAGTCATCATCCTCAATGTCCTCGACAAAATCAAGGTTATGATCGTCCTCCATGAGATATAAGCACTTGTCAAAACAAACATACAACAATGTATAGTAAAGTATTAGTGCAAATGAACACTCTTATGAAATTTCAAACATAAAAAAACTTCAAATATAATGCATACGGGTTTATAGAATGATTAAAGGTTAGTTCATACACAAAACAAAGGACTTGGGTTAATTAGAAGCTCATTTAAGCTAATTTCACCTACTTATGGTCCTATAACCGTGTATATGCATGATAATGAGTACACTTAGGCAATTTCAAACTACAAACATGTTAACTATAATAAATATGAGCTGTTAGAATGATTAAATGTTAGTTCATACAAAAAACAAAGGACTTATGGGTTCAGTAAAAGGTCATTTAAGCCATTTTCACTTACTTATGGTCCTATAACCAAGTATATGCATGATAATGAGTACACTTAGGCAATTTCAATGTACAAACATGTTAAATATAATGAATATGAGTTGTTAGAATGATTAAATGTTAGTTCATACATAAAACAAAGGAGCTAGGTTAAGTAGAAGGTCATTTAAGTAATTTTCACCTACTTATGGTCCTATAACCTTATATATACATGATAATGAGTACACTTAGGAAATTTCAAACTACAGACATGTTAAATATAATGAATATGAGTTGTTAGAATGATTAAATGTTCGTTTATATACAAAACAAAGGACTTGGGTTAAGTAGAAACTCATTTAAGTCATTTTCACATACTAATGGTCTTATAACCTTGTATATGCATGATAATGAGTACACTTAGGCGATTTCAAACTACAAACATGTTAGTTTATATACAAAACAAAGGATTTGGGTCAAATAAAAGCTCATTTATGTCATTTTTGCCTAATTGTGCTCCTATATACATGATAACTAAACTATATTTGTAATGAAACTATTACTAACTTTTAATCATACTACCTCAATCAGAAATTCCTTCGTTGTGGTCTGATCGCATATAACCTGCTTCGTCGTCTATGTCATTTAGTACAACAGGTCTAGGAACAGTGAAAGGTGCAGAGTCATCAAACGCATCATATTCTTCCTTATCCTCAACATCTCTAATTCCTAGGATTCTTCTTTTGCCAGCTAGCACAATAGTCCTTTTTGAATCGACTAGGTCAATTACGTAGAACACTTGCTTAGCTTGAGATGCGAAAATAAATGGTTTTGCACTATTATTCAAGTGGCCAAGATCTACAAGAGTAAAACCATCATATTTTACGTTATGCTTGATATGATCAACCCACTTACACTTGAAAAGAGCAACCGTGAAGTTACAATAATCAAGCTCCCATATTTCTTGAACTCGACCATAGTATGAAAACTTTGCATTGACAGGTGATTTATCCTTAGCACTTGCAAACTCCCTTGACGATGCCAAAAGCGTTACACCACTGTTTTGTGTGGAGGATGATTTCAAATCCTGACCTACAGTCCAAAAAGTGTACCCATTGATGTCATATCCCTCAAATGAATGAACATCATTCCTAGGACCGTACGCAAGCCACCGTACTATATCAGTCAAATTAGTATCATCCAATCGATCCATTACTCGATCACGAAACCAATTCACAAACCTCTTATTATGCTACTGCATAAGTGCCCTTTCACCTTTCGATATAAATTCGTCACGCAAACTAGCCATGTGCTCGTCTAAATATGGGTGCACATCTGCAACATGGTGCAACACATAAAGGTGTACTTGTAAGAACTGATCTCGGTCAGGTGACATTCGTTTCGACCCAATTGTGCCATGACCATCAAGTCTCCCTTCATGTCGATAAGTAGGAAGACCAATAGGTTGAGCAAGGGCTATGTAGTCCGCCACAAAGTTACCTATCTCCTCACCCACGGTCCCTTGCATCATACTTCCTTCAGGGTGAGCCTGGTTTCGTACTTTATTTTGCAATGTACCCATGTGTCTTTTAAAAGGATATCACCACCTCATGAACACTGGACCGCAAGTCTTAATCTCACGCACCAAATGAAGAATCGGATGAACCATTATGTCAAAAAATGAGGGTGGGAAACATCTCAAATTTGCATAAAGTCACAACCACATTTTCTTGCAAAGCATCTAGTGTACAAGGATCAAGCACTTTGCTAAAAATTGTATTGAAAACCAAACAAAGGCTTGTAATCTCTTCCCTCACGTGCTTCAGTAGAATACCACTCATTGCAATCGGTAGGAATACTTGCATCATAATGTGACAATCATAGGATTTCATACTTGTTAGCTTCAATTCTCCATTCAAGGTAAAAAATCTTTTCATGTTAGATGAGTACCCTGATGGAACCTTAATACCAAATAGACATGTACAAAACATACGTTTCTCTACCCTTGACAATGTATATCAACCCGGTGGTAAGTAAGTTTTTTCATCCTTCCTTTTACCCTCAACTTTCTTCTTTGATGTATTCGTGGCCTTTCTCTTTCCCTTTCCCTTGCTCTTCTCTTTCCCTTTTTTCGAAACATTTTCATCTTCTTTTCCCGGTTCCTTTCCCTTTCTAACCTTTTTCCTGAGCCCAGATTTTTGAACGAATTCCCATCTCTTACAAATCAAACCGTGCACCCTTTCCGTCCTTTGTTTTGCCTTGGATATTCATAAGCGTTCCCAAAAGAGAATCACACACATTCTTCTCTATATGTATCACATCAAGTCAGTGCTTAACATCATGTTCTCTCCAGTACAGAAACTTCCAAAAGATTGATTCTTTCTTAAACAGAGCAGCTGATACCACAATTTTTTCTGATTTTCCAAACACCGTTCGTATCCCTTTACCCTAGCACAAATCTTAGCACCAGTCAATGGTCTAGGCGTAGTATCCTCTTCACTGTCCCATCGAAAGCCTATTTCTGCCTATGGTATGGGTGGTCATTCCTAAGGAACCTTTGAGTCCGCAAGTAGACATCTTTGCGAGAATTCTTAACGTATACGCTTGATTTGTCATCAATAGATATAGGGCATGCTTTTTTCCCTTTGACCTTGTACCCACACAAGTTTCCATATGCAGGGAAGTCATTCATGGTCCACATAAGGGTTGCACGCAATGTGAGCATCTTGTTTTGATGAGCATCGAAAATGGAAACCCCTTCGTCCCACATTTTCTCAAGTCGTCAATAAGCGGTGCAAGGTAAACATCTATGTCGTTTCAAGGTTGCCTAGGCCCCGTTATTAGCAATGAAAGCATTACATACTAACGTTTCATGCACAGCCAAGGAGGCATGTTATAAATCACTAAAATTACTGTCCATGTGCTGTATTGGTACTAAGAATGCCAAATGGGTTCATCTCCTCCGTGCACAACCCAAGCCTTAAATTTCTGACTTCATCACCAAATTTCTCAAACTTCAAATCAATGTTCTTCCACTGTGGGGAGTCAGCCGGATGCTTCAGCATTCTTTTTTTCTTTCTTCCCTCTACATGTACCTCAAGTTTTTAACGTCTTTTGGTATTGAGAATAGACGCTTAAACCTTGGAATAATGGGAAGATAACACAACATCTTAGCAGGAGGCCCCTCCGTACCAGGATTGCAACTCATGCGCTTGTTGCGCGACAACTTGCATCATGGACACTCTTGCAACTGTTCATACTTATTTTGATAAAGAATACAATCATTAGGACATGTGTAGGGAATAATTTCAAGCCTTTAAAATCCCACTAGCTCGAACCCCACTGTGATCATACACTAAAGTACGGTGGCGTCCAAAAGGGAAGAAGATAGAGCAAAAGAGTCGCCAACAAGTTTTTTAGAACTTGTAAACCATTCACGAGGTGAAGGTTACACCCCTTAACGATCCAAGAGATCGTCAACTCCATAAGGTCATGAACAAAATAAGGGTTCGGGGATGAAGGTACAAATCCAACCTAAAAGAGATTGAATCTGCCCTAATAATAGGCCTCTACTTTATTCTGATCGTATTCATGTGCGCTTTCTGACTAACATGCAATCAATAGGATTAACCCTAAACCTGTTTAATCTATGTTGGTTGAATTTAATGCAAAAATAAACTATTATTGGCGATCACTTGAATTTATAATCATATTAACCCTAACAAGATTATTAATATCTTATTAAGCATGATTACAAGTACAATTTCCCTTTAACATGCAATAAAAGGTGATCAAGCAATAAATAATAAATATCAAGCAACATAATAAATAATCAACATCATGATAATAATAATAATCATCATCATAAATCATAATCATAATCAAAATCATGCTCATATTAATATTAAAGCACAATGAACATAGCAAGATCCTATGCATGATACTAACAAGATTAATAACAAACTCTAGCATGTCACTAAGCAATAAAAATCAAATCTTTAGCCCTAACATGATACTAACAATCATAAATATTAGGAAGAGAACAAAAGACATCATAGCAATCATATTTAATATTAAAAATAACCTAGACATGGTACTAGGAATATCATAATAACAATATAAACATGATATCTACATCATAAATCAATAAATCAATAAAGTACTTACTTCGATGCCTCGTACCTCTTTCTAATAACAAAATACACACGTTAGTAACTTCAAGGAAAAATAATAATCAAAAAAATTAAATTAAATAATTGAAATAGAGATTTGGAACCAAACCCTAAGAAATTAAAACCTTTCACGCCTAGGGCGAAGGAAACTTCGAATATGGCTAGGTGTGTCTAGATCATGCGAATGCGGAATTTTGTATGAAAAACAAGAAAGAATTGAATGCTAAAGAATACTTGAGAATAAGAGAATTGGTGAATTGGTAGATGTAGATGATGAATGAAAACGGAGTTTTTGATACGATATTTATAGAGAAAATCAGCCAAAAAAGATAATTTAAAAAAACAGAGTCTGACGATCGCAAAACAGGATTGGCGCCAACCCTGGCTAGCTGGCGCTAGGCACCAGTGGCTAGCGCCAGGCGCCAATGGCTAGCGCTTGGCGCCAAGCTTGGTTCCAGGCGCCAAGGCCTGGGGTTGGACGCTAAACT